GTGTTTTTTGGGAGCAGGGTGTGCATCCCACAGGACACCACGATGCTTTGGGACCAGTTTGGGACCAGTTTGGTCCCTTCAAAGAGAGGGTTCTTCCCTTTTGTGGGGGGCACAGGACCAGGAGCTGGGGGGTCCCCTCAACGCCCGTGGGGCTGCCCCGGATCCTGCTGCTCTGGGATGGGAACGGGAATGACTGGGATGGGAAGGGGAGGCTGGAGGGGGCCATGGGGGGGGTCGGGGTGACCTCGGGGGGGTGTCACCCACCTGCAGATGATGCTGAAGAACTTGAGGAGCAGCAGGGCCTGGCCCAGCCCGGCCCCCCCGCCCTCCTCCCGCGGGATCAGGGCCACGCTCTGGCCCAGCCTCTGGATCAGCACCTGGAGCACTTCCCGAGGGAGCACCGGGATCTCCGACACCACCTCCTCTGGCCTGGGGGGAGGGGGGCACAGGATGTGACCCCACAGCCCCCACAGCCCCCCCGGCTCACACCGGATGGGGGAAACCACCGGGGGCGGAGGAGCCGGGACAGGACGAGCCCAAATTTGGCAAAGCCCGAATTTAGGGTGAGTGACACCGAGTGACAGCACCCCCCCCACACAGGGTGTCACGCACACAGCGCCCAGGGGTGCCGGGGGGTGCTCGGGGGGGGTCACTGGGGGTCTCTCGAGGGTGCTGGGAGGGGGGTGGTGTCACCCAGGGATAGCTGAGGGTCCTGCACTGGTGCTTGGGAGTGTCACCCGGGGGTCCTGGGGGTCAGGGAGGGGTGCTGGGGGGTCCCCCAGGGGTCCTGGGGGGTCCCCTCAGTGGCACTGGGGGGTGTCACCCAGGGGCGCTGGGAGGGGTTCCCTCAGGGGTTCTGGGGGTCACCCAGGGGTCCTGGGGGGGTCACTCAGGGGTGCTGTGGGGTCTCTCAGGGGTCCTGGGGGTCACCCAAGGGTGCTGGGAGGGGTGTCCCTCAGGGGTGATGGAGGGGGGTCACCCAGAGGGGTGTCAGGCAGGGATGTTGGGGGTCCCCCAGAGGTGCTGGGGGTCATGCAGGGATCCTGGGGGTCCCTCAGGGGTTATGGGAGGGGTCACCCAGGGGTGACTGGGGGCTCCTTCAAGACGGCTGGGGGGTGTCACCCAGGGGGTGCTTGGGGTCACCCAGAGGTGCTGGTGGGGGTCCCTCAGGGGTCCTGGGGTGTCCCCCCGGGTGCTGGGGGTCCCTGACCTGCGGGGCTCCAGCGAGGGCAGGGCAATGACCCTCTCGAAGCTCATGACGAAGTTCTCCAGCCACTGCTGCAGGTACGACACGTCCTTCTGCGGGGGAGGGAGGGGCTGCAGCCACCGGCCAATCACAGACCACCCTGAGCCCCGCCCTGCATCCATCAGCCAATCAGCAGCCAGAGAAATCAAGCCACGCCCCCTCAGGAGCAGCTGGCCAATAGGGGCTGGGGTGTGACCACACCGCTGGGAGCCACCAACCA